CATTATGAGTGGTGGTGAATGGACGGCTGATACTGAGGGAGGTGTGTATTCCACTGAAGTAGTAGTTGATGGTGGTTTAAATGTAAATCCCAGTATTTTTCTCTGTTTACTTGTTTTTATTGATATTGAAAATTTAAACTGAATGAGAAAACTGCAGTTGAGTAGCTAGCAGGCGTGTCACACAGAGAAGAGAGTCTCTGTGTTCTAGTGCTTCCATTCCGCACGCGTACTAGAGAAGAGAGTCTCTGTGTTCTAGTGCTTCCATTCCGCACGCGTACTGAAAACAGCCGTTGGAATTCTAATATTCTTCATATTTGGGCTCTCTTTTACTTTGTGTTATCTGATTTTGATAGCCTGTTAGAATCAGTGGTTTTATATTTTATCACAGTTAATATATTAAGAATATTTTATATCAATAGGTGTCATATTTCCCAATGTTTTGCTTTTAATTTTTACTCATTATTTACTACATGTAAACTAAGTATACAGACTGTGTCATCTTAGTGACATTGTGTGTAGTTTTTTGTGCACTTGGTGATGCTTTTATTTTCCTCTCACATTATCCTCTTTTCTTCCATAATTTGGCCTTTCTTCTAATTTTGTATTTTGTTGAAATCTATACATTTATATATATTTTGTTCTGGTTCTTTAACGTGATTCTGAAGATGATCCATGTGGTGTTTTGTAGTAGTTCTGTTCACTTGCTGTTACAGTTGTGTCTTGTTTCAAATTGTGAAGAACTGTTCTTTATTTTATTTTTATTTATTTATTTTGTTTTGGATTTGTTGTTTCTAGCCCATGCTGTCCTCACATTCCCTGTGTAGCAGAGGGTGGTGGTGATGGTCTTGGTCTTGTGCACGCCAAGCTATCAGTTTACCAGACTAAGCTCATGCACAGCTCTTGTAATAGCTTTTTTAAATGTTGGTGTGCGTGTGTAAGGTATTTATGTGAGTGTGAGAAGGACGTGTCTGTGGTGTCCTGTGACAGCTTTCAGGAGTTGGAGAATGTCTTCTGCATTTTTTAGAGAAGAGTTTTGTTGGAGATTGTCTTCTGCATTGTTTAGAGGAGGGTTTTGGTTATTTTTGTTTTCTGCTAGCTATCTTGGGAGCTGCTTGGTTATGTCTTGTTTCTGTGTCTGTTTTCCCCGTCTAAGTACACTGGTATTATAGAAGCTTAATACAGTGTTACTGTATTCAGCTTTTGAAGGGGGTTTTGGGAATCTGAACTCATCAGGCTTAATTACATAGCTAATGCTTTGCCTACTGCACCAGCCCCTGTTCCATTTCTTTACAGTTATGGAAGACTGCCACTCCCCATGACTGTAGTGTCACACAAGCATAAACCAGCGGCATGTGTGCTCACGTGGACCACACAATGAACTAGTGTCTCATTAGCATAAATGAGTGTTGTGTGTATGTACATGGATCATATGATGGTCTAGGTTAACAATCAGTTTTGTTTTTAAACATTCAAAACAGAAGCATCTATCTAAAAACATTCTGATTTTGTGTGGATATACTGATGGAATTATTTGTTTTGTGTTTTATATATTTGGTATTTGGAAGATTATTTTTGCTATGTTATCAGGTTTTATAGCATGTCTTAGAAAAGTCTAGTATTGTCTCCAGATATCTACTTCTCCTCTGCCTCTATCATTCTACTTACACACCTCGGTAGGCCTTTACACTTCCTTTCAGTATTTTCTGCCCTCTTGTGTGTTCAATCTGAGTATTTCCTTCTTAGCATGCTGGTAAGAAATAATGATTTGGATTTTTTTCAGATTTGGAATTTGACTTACTGACTCCTCGGAGCTGGAATGACAGACCTGTGTCACCATGCTCAATTTAGGACTTCCAGGTTCTTCTAAATAATTTTAGCCTTAAAATTCCTGAGGATATTAGGCAGAGCAACTTTTATTTATTACCATTCATATTTGTTAGTGTATTTGCCTGTGCTCTTCATGCATGTATGTATGAATATTCTCACTATAGGAACACTATATGAACACTCATTTTTACTATGTGGACATGCATGTGTATGTGCATGTGGAGCCAGAGGTTGGCATCGGGTGTTTTCTACTTCATTTACTAAAGCAAGGCCTCTTGCTCTCCATTTAATCTATTTTCTCTGTTAACTTACCCTGAGAATCCTGTCTTCACTTTCTGAGTTTTGAGATTATATCCTTCCAGGCTTTGATGTGGGTGCTGGGGACCTCGAGCTGAGTCCTTTTATTCTTGTGCAGCAGGCAGTTTATTGAGCTATCTCCTCAGGTCCTGGGTGTGCACTAATCATACACGATAAGTAGGTTTCATTGGTATCATACATGTCTGTTATATTTTTGATTATATCCACCCCCAATAATCTCTGTCACTCTTCCGTCATTCCACTGGTCCCATTTCTCATTCCAAGTAATATCACTACTTTTGTGGGGGTTTTGCTTTTAAATATAGAGTTTTCTTAAGAGGAAATGCAATATTTATCTTTCTGAGTTTATATTATATAACACGAAGATCTTCAGTCCAGCCCATTATCTTGTAGATGCCATGATTTCATTTAAAAATATTTTAAAGCATCAATTCATATTTGTTTATGCATGTGTACATGTGTATGTGTGTGGGAACACAGGTGCATGACATCCAGAAGAAGGGCAGAAATCAGTTCTGTCCGTCCACTGTGTAGATCCCAGGAACTGGACTCAGGTTGTTAGGCTCAGCAGTAAGTACTTTTGCTCACTGAGCCATCTCAGTAGCCTCATAATTTTATTCCTATGATTGAATAGAACTCCTTTGTGTATATATGATACATTTCCTTTATCTGGTCATTTGTTGCTGGGCTGATTTCATTATGTTGGCTAATGTGTCTGTTATTGCAGTAAACATGGATGTACAGTTATGTTTGGGGTGTGTAGAGATAGAATACCTTGTGTATATCCCAGAAGTTTGGTACAGACGGATCATGTCATCATTCTTAGATTTTTTTTTGAGGAAGCTCCATACTGTTTGGCGTAGTACCTGTCTGTACTAATTCACACCATACTAGCAGTAGATATAGATACTTATTCTTTGTAAGTATTTGCTTTTCATTGATGGCTGAGATACTGAACACTTTTTCTTAAGTTTATTGGCCATTTATATTTCCTTTGAGAACTCGTCAATTCATTTGCCTATTTGTTCGTTGGATAATTTGTTCTTTTGATAACAAATTCGATGAGTTCTGTATTTTGGATAATAATTCCCTGTCAGCTGAGTAGCTGACAGGTTTTCTAGCATTCTGGAATGCTCTCTCTTCATTCTCTACTGCCTTTGCTGTGCAGAGACATGGTCTGCTGCAGTCTCATTGTCAGTCCTTGCCATTGTGTCCCAAGCTATTCAAAGAATCACTTACTATCCCATATCTTGACATGTTTCCCCTATAGAGGATTCAGCTACATTACATGTTTGACCCATTTTAAGTTGGTTGTTGTGTAGCATGGAGGATAGAGGCTTAGTTTATCCTGTAACAGATTCCCAACTTCTATCACTGCCTTTCCTCTGATGTACACTAGTAAGCACCTCTGTCAAGAATGAATTATTTCAGGGTCCTCTGTTTTCTCACTGGTTTCCATGTGTGTTTATGTGTTACCATCAAGACATAATTATCTTAATATCCAGTTTGAAGCTTTATTATTTAAATGTGTAGGGATCTGCTTTTTTGACTGCTATTTCTGTTTGCTCTAGATGATCTAGTTTATATTCTAGTATAACCCGATTTTTAATTGAATACCAGATATTGCATATGAAAAATTATAGAGAATTTAAGGTCTAACATGATGTTACCTTTACTCATAGAGAAGTTATTTCCTCATCACAGAGGTGCAAAATAATTGAAAAGTCTATATTGTCTTACTACCAATGAGAATTGAGAAGCTTTCTAATTTAGGTCACTTTGCTAATCTACTAGAGATCAGTTCACACTGCTGGTCTAGTTGAGTTCAGTTCACTCTGCTGGTCTACTTGAGGTCAGTTTTACCAGGGTTGATCTTGCCTTAACAGTAGCTCCTCCTCAGCTCTGTTTGTTACCCCTGAACTTCAGTGATTTTTTTTCCATGTATAATTTCCCCTTTGTGTCATCTTCCTCTTGAGGATTGACCAATCCTTACAGGGACAGAGACAATTCTCAAAGAAAGTTATACCTCTTTGGATTTTCAATGTGTCTTACAATCATTACCCTATGCTTCGTTATTCTCTTAGCTGTTGTCAATGATTTTAGATAGGTGTTTGTGTTTAAAACAGAATCGATTGTTACTTAGTTCATTATGTGTTAACAAGTTATCGAGACATTTTTTATACTGAATTATCTTTAAAACATTATTTAAAACTCTGCAGTGCCTTTGGAGATCATCAGACATGTTTTACTTGTATGTAGTTTCTTAGCATGGAGTTGGATCTATCTTCTTGATGGAAAGGGTTCAAGACATATGAAATGATCGCAGCTAACATAGATGAAGGTGTTGCCATGGAACTATGTTTGGAAAGGTGACTGTCAGGCAAGTTTCTGGAGTTCAGTATTATTTTGTCCATCTATCTCTTCTAAAGGCAGGAAGGAAACGATAGCTCATGTGTAAGTAGCTATACCTACAACATTTACTTTTCCTGATTTTACTTACATTTCTTTGCTTTTCTGAAGTTATGTAATCTCACTTAACTTTTTAAAATCTTTTCTCTTAATAGGAGAGTATTTCCTGAATCCACTGATGAGTAAGGCCTTAATTGACTTAGACAGGCTTTTTCAGATGATGCACTCAGGACTTTTATGTAGATATCAGAAATAGTTCTTGTTCATCTTTTCAGAGTCAAGAAATGATACCTGTTGGTTGGCATTTGTCTCTTTTTCTCCATTTTTTTTTCTTACTTACTAACCAAAAAGTTTTCAACTAAAGTTATCAAGGATTCCATGCACTTCCAAGATAGGGATAACATTAACCCAAGGACTCAATTCTTTTCTGTCTTCACTGCTTACAGACAGGGAACACAGTCTCTTCAGCCTGGACCTGTGTAGAAGAATTTGGAGAAAATAAGCAGGTAAGAAAACATCTCTTAGGAATATTGTGGTATATTTTATTCCCAGAAAAACAATTTTCAGCTAATCCTCTCTCGACCATGAGGAAATGCCTAGAATTGTCTGATAAAACCCTGTGTGGTATTTTGTTTATAATAGTTTTACTAGCTAAAGACTCATTAAGGAAAAATTAAAAGTTAAATGAGTTTCCATATTTTATATATTTTCCAATCTTTGAACCTGACAATGTTCTGATATCTAAATTGAACCACCAGGATTGTAAATAGTAGTTTAAATCAGGTATAGTTAAGAGTAAATGCTGCATTTCAATTATGTAGTGTTTCTCAAACTAAGCTGAGAATGAGACATTTTCTACATTATTACAATAATATTTTGACTCTAAATTATTTTTATAAAAGTTGAGTTTGTTGTTTCCTCACCAGAGCACAATAAAGAGACTGTTTGTGGGGCAGTTTGAAGGCAGTTTATGATTTGCCAGGAACCCTTTTATACATGTGAAGGGATCAGCCCGTGTAATAATTTTGTGTCCTGAGGAGGTTACTTCATCAGTGTGTGCCTTAATTCAGCACAATCAAAGGGAGCAGTGAGAGAGCTTCAGTTGTTCCTGATCTTGTTTGGTCTTTTTTGGCGTGTACTAAGTGCTAGCCTTAGTAATATCTATGAGAAATATGTTTATTATTCTTGACACTTAAATCTTAAACTTTAAATTTATCCTTACAGATTTTAGCAAAACTAGCTGCAGGTCTTAACTCTTACATAAATTTCAAGCACACAGTGCTATTTTAGAGCCACCTTCTTTTAACCTCATGAGTTTAAAGCTTGACTTAGAAAGAGTGATTGTGAGGACTGGCAAAACTGAAACCCGTGAAGACTTGTGTCTTTAAATCTAAGCCTTTCTCTTGAGTCTGGCCTGGATATATCTAGTGAGCTACAGTGTGGGACCTGTTCTGAACCCTAGACTTACAGTTCCCGTCATGGTTCTTTCCCTGAAGGCTGTGTCCAGACAGTTTAGAAATTAGAATTAGAAGGAGTTTGTCTCTGAATGGTCTGCTAAGGAGCCAGGATGGTACTGAACTAAGTCCTCTGCACCTGTGTGACAGTTGTGTAGCTTGTCTTTTGTGGGGCCCCTAGCCGTCGGACCTATCCCTAGGGCATAAGCTGGCTTATTGGAACCTATTCCCTGTGGTGGGATGTCTTGTTCAGCCTTGGTGCAGCGCGGAGAAGCTTGGTCGTGATTCAACTTGATTTGCTGATTCCCATCAGCAAAGCAAATAAGAGGCCTTCCTTACTCCATCTGAATGGAGACAGAGAAGGAGCAGATGGGGGTGTAAAGGGAGGTCAGGGAATGGGAGTAGAGAAAGGAGGGGAAACTGGTTGGTATGTAAAATAAAAAAATGGTGAATAATGAAAAAAAGAGTCTGTCATGATCTCACTACATAGGAGAAACTAGCAGTAGAAGGAATCTGTCATTATGATCTCTTAGTACATAGGGAGCAGTTGGCATCTCACAGTGTGGTTTGTTTGGGCTTCTTGCTTCTTCAAAAGGAAAGCAGCTGGAGTAACTTCAGCGTCGTGGGCACTGTCTTTACATCTGCTCCTCCTTTACCATTTGCCTATGTGCTGAATTTTCGTCTCTAGAGGGGTTTATTGTTGTTCATGTTTTCTTGTTATTTCCAAGTACTGGGGAAGTAAAGGCAAAGGGATTAGAATCAAGCTCATCCCTGGTACAAGTTTAAGGATAACCTGGGATACGTAAGTCACGGGGTCGGGGCAGGAATGGGAGAGAGAGCTCTGTTAGAACATTTTCATGGTCGATCTCCCACAAATACAATTGAAATTAGAAAATTTTAGCACATAAGAAAATGTGCAGAGAGCTGCATGCACTGAGAAGAGAAGCTGTGAAAACGAAGAGGTACAGGCCACACCCAGGCTGCTTCGACTTGACCCTTGTGCTCCTGCCCTGTCGGAATGGAGGCCTTTGGAGGCCTTTGGAGATGGTTGCTTTCAAATATTCTGCCTAAGGTTTCTTTAAAACTTGGAAACAATACCTTCCTATGAATCAGGAGATCTGAAAATTTTAGCTTGTTCTGTACCCATATACCTATGGACCTATGGATCTGCCTTAACCTAAATCAGCTGTCTTTGTCATTCATATGAATTGGGATCATTTGAATTAACAACTCGTAAAGTTTCAGTCCATTCTCTATTTCCAATTTCGAATTAGATAGTAAAAAGTTTATTAGTAATAATAGTCAAAAGACCAAACCAATATTGATGAGCAAGAGGCTTAACATATCTGAACAAAGATATTTACATAGATAATGTACACATTATTAGTTATAAAGGAATATAAATTAAAACCACAGTGGAATACATATGTACTGGTGAAGATATAGTTAAGAATACTAGACCAGGTTTTGTGGTGCCTACCTGTTTTCACATTGTCTAGGAGGAAAAAGTAGGAGAATCAGTGCAAATTTGAGACCAAACTTTTCTCAAAGGTGAATTCCAGGCCAGCCAGAGTAAGATGTAGTATGCAACAACCTCCACCCCACCCCCGTGTGTGCACGTGTGCGCATGTGCTGTTGTGGAAGACGTGATGTGACCAACTGGCAGTTTCATATTTTACTGTTTGAATACTCCAGAGCATAATAACTCTACCCCATGCCCTAGCAGCCCTATTCCTAGGTATTTACCTCAAAGAAAAAAAAAATAATGAAACGATTTATGTAAGAATGAGCATAGAGCATATCTGTAAGAGATTGGTATTAGGAGAGTTACATGTTCATCAACAGATGACTGCATAAAATCATAATGTATTCATACAGCTGAGAAATACTTAACAATAAAATGGAAGAAATTGCTGAAATAGAGAACTTGAATCTTAGAAATTGTATTAAGTAAAGAAGCTAAATAACAAATATTTTAAAAATAACAAAATCCAAAACCAGATGAATGAGTCCATGGTAGCAGAGTTAGAAAGTGACTGCAGACTGGGGAGAGACAGGTGACCTGATGACCTAAGCCTGTGTGACCATCAAATCCCATACACTGTCTGCACACTGTGCTTCAATTTTCACTGTCAAGACAGCTGTAAAACTTCAGCTCTGAAATTGGCTCCCTCTCATTCATTAATAAGGGGAAGGGAGTGTAGAGTTCAGTTTGGGACTGAAGATTGAAGATGTACTTGAAGAGGAACAACTGGGATGGGTTGGGGACAAGTATGTACATGCTTGGAATTTTAACTCATTTTTTCTTTTTTCATTTTTTGTTTTCTATAATATGTAAATTGTGTCAAAGGAATATGCTCCTACTCCTACGTTTATTTAACTATATATTTCACTTTACATTTAATTTATTATCTTAACATGTGTTCTATTTTCTAGCAGCCGGTTGTTTTCCTGAATGTACTTAGATTCATAATGGTTTTAGGAGTAGTACTTACTTGTGAAGTGCTTGTGAAATGTTAATAAACATCTCGCAAGTCTTTCACTTGCCCAATTCTTGCAGTAGTTTGGAGGTTTTTCTCATATCTTATATGAATAATGTTATGCGTCATCTTCTAATTTTGGATTTAATGTAGTTTTCTTTAAAAACAAGAATATAGTAGGTGATCCATGTTTGCTTAAAGATTTGTGGTCGAGGACTACCAGAAATGCTAAATGTTATGCTCATAGGTCTCTTTGTAGCTTGTTTTTACATCTTCTGGAGATACTTTCTGAGTCCACATTTTTTAGTAAGCTCCATTGATCTCTTGAATTGGTGCAAACTCAAAGAAAGCATGACAGTTCCTTGAAAACTACATTTTCTGTCTGTTGAAGTCACTTTTAAATCATGTTGTTGATGACTACATTAGTAAAGTTTAAAAAAACTTGGCACATTAAAGGTGTGTGCCTACCAGTCTTCAACAGGGAAAATCAGAACTTTTAAAGGGCAGTTTATTCATCAATACATAGAATATCTTGCATTTTAGTTTATGTTCAATACCTCAACCCTTGGATAAAGTAGATTCTTTAAAAGAATAGATCTGATGTTAGAAAAGTAAATGGTTTCAGAGTAATTTCTCAATTCAGAATATCCAAAATATTTTGAACATTTTTTGGACATAACAAAACATGTTTATGATTTCTTAAAACAAGCTACTCTGTTGATTTTGTAGTACCATTCATTAAAAATTTGTTTACAAAAATTAAAGTTTTACAATGCTAGCAATTAAACCTATTTACAACTGATTTTCATTTTTTATTTTTTCTTAAATAGGTCCTTTCTGATGTTGCTTGAGCTTACTCTCCTGCAGTTGGTCTCATTCCTGTTGGTTACATGTTAAGTCCCATGACAACATAAAGTTGATGCACACGTGTTGTAGGGCTCATAGTGAATGATACTGGGGGAGACTGACCTGTACATTACACGACCTATTCCACTTCCATTGCAGCAGCACAGCTTCTACCAATGATGATTTTACAATTGCAGTCCCACTTTGACTACACTGCAGTAAAGAGCATAGTTGAGTTTTTGGAAAGTACAGGATCTACAAATTTGGTCAATAAAACACACACATACAGAAATACTATAATTAAGGAAGCAGGAAATTATTGTTACATAAGATGAACGTTTGTTTGAAATAGTAATTTCAAATATAATTGTTTTAATAATTTGGTTAATTTTAGATATTTTCTATACTATTAGGTTGATAATGTTTTTTGAAGTTCATTTGGTAAAGATGATTCATTTTACTGTTTTGTGGTACCAGTGAGACTCTAATGTTAAATTGATGTGTTTGGTTATATGAATGTTTGTGCCAGCATTTAAATAATGAAATTTTGGATAGTTAGTTTGTACCAGAAGTCCAGGGGCAAATGTTTATGCTGGTTTGATGCTTGATATAGTTTCAAAAGAAAGAAAGAGAGAAAGAAAGAAAGAAACTGAATTTGCTGTTCTTTTCTCTCATTCATGATATGTAAATATATATAATATATATATATATATATATATCAGAACCAAATTTAAAGAAACTTCTTTGTTGATTAAAATCAGAGGTTCTCTTTTTCTATGTTAAAAAGAAAAAGATAGCCAAGGATGTCCTGTTGTAAGATCTCCCCTGCAGTGTTGTCAGATAATAAGAGTCCTGACTTGATGTAACTGCTATGTTTGCACTGCAGTGATAGTAATCCACCACCATTACGGTATCACCAGGTATTTAAATGTTAGAACATTATGTTAAAACATGATTGTCTGAATGTTTGTCTCTTGAATTAAATTTGTGTCCATAAAAGATGTGCAGCATAATTGTTCATATATATTTATTTACAGACTACAATTTCCGCCGCAGCTCAATAAATAGTCTTTCCCCTGTTAGCGCTACCCTCTCTTCTGGGACGCCCAGCGTGCTTCCTTACACTTCACGGCCTTATTCTTATCCAAGTTATCCCTTGTCACCAACAATATCACTTGCTAATGGCAGCCATGTTGGACAACGACTATATATCTCCAATCAGGCCTCATTCTTCTGAAGAAAGTCTGGATACAGTAGTATAAATTTTCTTTGTATAAGGCATGAAAATTAAAGTACTGTTGTATTTTAGAATTGGGTTTGCACATTTGACTTTAAAAACAATATATTTTAACATATTAAACATCAACTATAATTCAGAATTACAAGAGTGGTAGTTAGCAGAAACACATTTAAAAGTTAGTGGTAGCAAACTACCACTGTTCTTTGTGAACTTTGGGACTTTTCTAATTCCTAGTTTGAAAAGATTCCAGTAGTTTATGTTCTTTTTGTATAACAACTTTGTAAAGCATCATTTCATAACTATTAAAGTACTTAAAGACAGTGTTTACACTAGACTAGATTACCAAGGATCACTATCTGTAGTGGAGTTTGGAATAGTTATGTAGCCAGAAGCATCTAACTATTATGTAGAAAGAAATAATGAGACAAAAAAGATTAAGATGCAAATTTTTGACAGTCATAATGAAAAATCAGTCAACCATTGTGGTCCTTGAAGTAACTAAATATTTTTGTTAATATTTGTTACACAAATAAATTATAATTTTGCTGTTAATAAATTTAAGGTTTTTATAGTTATATTTCATCTATGTTTTGATATTCATTGTTTTGGCAAGAAGTGTTAATGTTTTTAAATGTTGAAATCATGTGTTAATTTTTATACTTCAGATTCTTCAATATTAAATATATGTTGCTACTAATGTGTGTTTTGTTTTTTATTAAAATTTACACACTCAAATGTCTCTCATCTTTGAGAAGAGTTTAACTTGCCAGGTCAACAGTTGCAGGTTCAATGTCTTCATGAGATTAAAGGGTCAGATTTTATAAAGAGATTTGTACAATAAAAGTAGAATCATTTTCAAGTGCCAATAGAAATGTTTTGTTGGTAGAATTACAGAAGTTTCCCTTATTTACTAAAGAATAATTAACGAATTCAGATAATTTTGATTTCATCATTTATTAGCATGCATGGTTAATTATGATGGTTTTCATAGTTGATACCAGATATTCTAGATATCATTAATATCTAAATATTGAATACTAAAAATAACAAGTGGTAGAGCCAGAGCCAGGATTTACGTACACAGAATTAGAAATAGTTGCAAATAACTTCCCTTACAGCTTAATTTGACTTTTGTAGCAGGAAGTTATAAGAAGAGTAAATGAGTCTCAGTTTTGCAGTTCTAGAGCAGGGTTATCTCCCATAAAGCGGGTCTGCTGCCTTTGCAGTCCGGTGCTTTAGATGTTCTGGTTTTAAGAGAGTAGAGACACTGAATGAGGACTGCATACATTTCACAACCCCGCTGTCACATACATGACAGGCGCTTGGGTAAAATCATTCAGAAAACAGGCATTGAATGCTGACTGCTTTGTGAATACCCATGGGACACAGGTGACTCAGATTCTAAGCTAGAAAAACAGACACATTTAGTTTTTTATAAAAAAACACTTGTAATAGCCCAAATTATAAGTTATCACAAATTTTGTCATGGACTTTTCACTTTGGGGAACCAAAAACCACCTCAATTTAGAGAGCTTTAATCCCATAAGATTTGAAAATCCATGGTCATGTAATGGTAAATGCATAAATTTTGGTGTCACGTTGGACTTCTGCCAAAAACCTGTTCTTTAAACTTGAACAGGTTTTAATCTCTTTGAGTCTAGTTGAAGGTCCCTGTTGAGGGTGCTATGGTCCTTATAATATTGAAGCTAGAACACTGGTAAGTGTAAGAAGCCACATAGCTGATATTTTGGGGGGTATCTTTGCGCTGATGTGGTGTTTGGTTTTTTGCACAACTTTCCTTACTTCCTCCTCCAATCACAAGAGTGCAGCTGGCTGGGTGGTGGGTGGAGCTAAGCTGCTCATCTCCACAGTTGGAGTTAAGGAGTGGCGAGGGAGGGGATGAGGATGATAATGACTCGGTACCCAGTGTAGGAAAGTACTGTGGAGAACACAGCTGACAGTTGTATCGGTTTAGTAAAATACTGATTGGCCGTAGTCCGTAGCAGCCAGTAGCAGGAAGTATAGGCGAGGCGACTAGAACAGGAGAATTCTGGGAAGAGGAAAGGTTCAATCTACAGTCATAACCCAGACAGAAGAAGCAAGATGAGAATGCCTCACTGATAAAAGGTACCAAGCCACATGGCTAACACAGACAAAAATTATGGGTTACTTTAAGATATAAGAGTTAGTTAATAAGTCTGAGCTAATGGGTCAACCAGTTTACAATTAATGTAAGCCTCTGTTTGTTTCTTTGGAACTGAACAGCTGCGGGACTGGGCAGGACGGTAAATTGCTGCAGGCAGATCTGATGATGGCTTAGGAGTTTCTGGGAATTTCAGAGGTCCCAACTTTGTCTCACCCAGTTAAGCCCCTGCTCCTTTAAAATGATCCATTCTGCCCATTCCTGTTCAAGAAAGGAAAGGAATCCAGCCTATCCCACACCCTCTTACAATCTTTATATAAATCCATACAGGGCCAGAAGGTGCTGCTTTTCTGGACACCTCCTGCCCTGTCGCTCTGGCTATGTGTGCTCTTTGCTTATGTGCTATCTTTGCTGCAACAGACCTCTTATGTAGTGGCATGCACACTTCTTGTTCTGCAGTTCCTTTCTTGAAGGAGAAATAGTGTCTTAGTGATGGATTCTATTGTTGTATAAACCACCATGACTGAAAACAACGGACAGGAAGAGCTTACACTTCTACATGACACTCCATCACCAAAGTAAAGGCTGGAAAGCAGGGATTGAAGAAAAGGCCATGGGCGAAATGCTGCTTACTAGCTTGGTCAGATTATTCGGCATGCTTTTTTTATACAAGTCAGGACAGCCTGACCAGGGCTGATGCCAACAATCCTCTGTTTCTGCCTATGCCATGGGCTGGGCCCACCATATCCATCATTAATCAAGAAAATACCCTGTAGGCTTCCCCACAGGCCAATCTGGGGGGGGGCACTTTCTTACCCAAGGCTCCTTCTTCCCAAATGAAGTTGTTAAATATCAAGTTGTTAAAAAAAAAAAAGAACAAAAACTTGTCAGGACCAGACCAACGGGCAGAGAGCTAACAGTCAACACATCCATGATTTAAAAAGAATGGAATCTTCACAGATATGACATCTGAGTGGATGCCCCCATCTCCAAAGCTTTTCCTCTTGCTAATAGCTTACACTCTCCCATATTAGAGTCCTGCAGAGTCAGTTCCTGGGCAACAAGACAGCATAACCCTCCTACCACCCGGCTGTCATATATTCCCCTCCGAGTCTTAGGTTCTAGACTTTATGCTTGAGTTTCAGCACAACCACATGGGCCTGATAACCGCAAAATTTAATTTGTTCTTGTAAAGAGCCAGAGAGGATGGTGTGTTGAAGTAATAGGGGTGGCGGGGCTGCGTCCCCAACACCCCAGCTGCCTACCCAGCTAGCTTATGCCCGAAATAACAACACACAAACTGTATTCATTTAAACACCGCTTGGCCCATTCTCTTCTAGGCTAATTCTCACATATTAATTTAGCCCATTTCTAATCATCTGTGTTGCGCCCCTGGGTGCGCTTACCGGGGAGATTCTAGCCTATGTCCATCCTGGGTCGGAGCTTCAACCTGGGCGCAGGGCATGGCGTCTCTCTCAGGCGTCTGCTCCCGAGCGGAGAGCTGTGGAGTCTCTCAGCTCACTTCCTCTTCCTCCCAGCATTTTGTTCTATTTACTCCTCCCACCTATCCTCTAACCAATAAAATGGGCCAGGGCAGTGCCTTTATTAGCCAATGACCTTCCTCCATCATTTCCCCTTTTTCAGTTTAAACAAAAAAAAAAAAAGGCTTTAACATAGCAAAATTACATATAACAAAACAGTTATC